TATTTGATTGTTTTCACATCGTCAAACAATTTTAATAGACTTCATTTATTTACTATGTTGTATACAGGGTGTGTCAAAAAGTTTTGATTTTCTCAATTTTTTAAATTGAATACCCTATATGTTATACCACTATTTAATTAATTTCTTTAATTTTTATTTTGCATTCCAAATTGCAAAGTCCACAGGATTACAGATCTAATAGATCACGCAGGCGGTTGATAAAATCTGACATGAAGGACCCATAAAAAAATTGGGACAAATGCTCCCAAAGCAGTATGTACAACTTCTGGGACCGTACATAACAGATAAATTTTACAGAACAAAAGAAAAGGAGGATTACTTTGAGTTAAACAAACTAAAGCAGCAGGATAAATACAGAAGGCTCCATATCTATGGAATAAACTAATATTTAACGTTATTATGTACTTTTAGGAAAAAATCTTAAACGGGTCGATTTCTATTCTTAATTTGACAATTTAGAGTTTGAAAATGTTACCCCCTCTTGCACTCTCTTTAAAATATGTGTACACCATCGAAAATTATTTAAAATAAGAATGGGGTCGTGTGGTACCTTGTTTGAAATGCATTTTATTAACGGAACTTTCAGAATAGTATCCCAAATGTGCAAAATTATACACCATCCCCGGGATTAAAAGAATATTACACCATTCTATTACTGTATTTACTTCTTCCCGATAAAATGGGAAGTACGTAAACAAAACTGATCCGAGAAGGAGCCTCAAAGGCTCTTATTAACCCAGAACCCTTCTGTGGTGTAACAAAAACAACCATCAGAACATGCACAAAGCAGTGGATGTTTAAAAAATCTCAGGAGTGGTAGCAAAACTCTCCAGGACAGAGACAGGCCAAAGAGTTCATAAAAGGACCATCGGCTGAACTCACCGAGCATCTACTAAGCCTTAATAGGAAAAATATCAGAGTACTAGTAGGTTTATTAACAGGGCATTGTAGGCTTAACAAACATATGTATAATATCGGCCTGACAGAAGATACCTTGTGCCGATTCTGTCAGGAAGAGGAGGAAACGGCAGTACTTGTATTGTGCTACTGCGAAGGATTCAAGGATTCAAGGATATCCACAATAGATCTGAAAAGGTCGAGGTGGGGGAGGCCACGTGGCCCACAGTCCTAATTAAATCTAATCTAATCTAATCTAATCTAAACAAAACTGATAAAAGAGATCAAGAATCTTTGTCCCATAGCTGCATCAACTAAAGTTTTAATATATTTTAAAAAGATGAACGCATTGGACACAAACTTTCCAAAAACCACAAGAGGATGTCTTTCATTTATGCCAGTATCTGGACAGTAAAATCCAATCATCCGGCTTAAAAACCGATATGACACAGCCACAGAGTTCGCTCTGCAATAAGGATCCTAAATACTGTAGCATTTATTCCAGTTAAATTTGTTCAAATTTTCAGGACATAGGAAATATGGAAATATGAAAATATTTCGATCCTGCTGGTACAGGATTAGCTAAAACTAACAACGCCGTTAACGATTGGCACAGAAGCTACGAAAGCCAGTTTTCAGCTGGCCAAGAGAACAATTTAAAAATGAAATAGTACGTAACAGGAGCACCTCCATCAACTCCAAAAATATAAGGAATATGCATAGAGAATACTAGGTATTGTAGAAACTTTCAACGACACCCCCATTGTAGAATACTATGGAGGAATATCGTATAATTTAGGTTATTAGTTTTATATTTTCTATTTATGCCTACCTAAAATGAAACTCTTAAACTGTTAAATATGTTTTATTTTTTAATATTGCTTTATTACTTAATTAAGATAATGAAAATTGGTAATTTAAAAAATTTCTATTCGAATAATTGATTTAGAAAAACTGACTTTTTAATAACTGCTTTTCGAATATTTTCTTTCATTGGTACCTTCGACTTCGACAATTTAGGCCTCGTAGGTTATGGAGCACTGGTAGTATAATACTCCACAGTGCAGGAGTGCTAGTACTCTAATACTTCTGAACCCCTACAGACAGGCCTTGTCCCTGTTGCCCTATGCCTATTTAGGAACCGCACTATAAAGTAGAATACAACAGTTAATGGGCAGAGTAGAAAATCCTACCTATACATTAGAATTATTGATGTTCCGAATAATTTTTTTTTCATTTGTGTCTTCGGCTTCTACACTTTAGGCCATTAACCTCATGTTCTATGAATGTTATGGAGTACTGCTAGTCTAATACTCCATATTGTAGTACTCTAATACTCCTGCACCTACATTGATTTTTGAATAATTGATTTCGAATAAATAATTTACTAGCTACCCAGATGTGGCTTTGTAGATATCAATCAGAAATTTAAAATAAGTACAGATTTAAAAAGAGATTTATACATAAATCTTTTACATAATAAGGTAGACTGCATTGAGTTAATGAAATATATATCACTTAGAGTTCCTAGACCAGGACTACGAATTTGTGTAAGTTTTCAACTAAAAATTTCTAGGAAAATAAACTCTATTTTGTTCGCCAATACATCAAACGGTCAAAGTTTATCACGATCTGGAGGATCGCCTAGATATATTTTGTACTAGCCTAAAAAAAATTAAATCAATTCTTAATCTTAATGAAAATTAGTATCATACAATAATTAATATTTTATTTTTCCTTTTTTTTTATAACTGTTTTATAGAACTTTTAGTCCAATGTGTCAAAACCTACTTATTTTAATTTTCAGATTGTAAAATTGTAAGGCATTTTTACAGACATATACTTTTTTTTCACATATGGTTTTTTATTTTTTTCAAGCGTATGTCTGTAACTTATGCACACCATATTTTGATGCTTTTTGTATAACTGTTTACTTTTATGTTCCAATTTATTTTTGTTTTTTGTACATTTTCCCGTCACCCTGTAATTGGCATAAGCTGTTTTGGTGATCTAATTATAAATAAAAAAAATAAATAGATAAAGACCGTTAAAAAAGAACTCCAAAGATATGAAAAAAAAAAAAAACAAGAACACACATGTGAAGATTGAGATGTTTCAGATCTTCGACCAGCATGTAATAAAAAGAGGATTTAGGAGAATAAATGTTTCAGTTCTTATGTGAGTTAGTAGTATTGTAAAATAGTGCTGTTTTAGCACAAAAAAAAAGAAACTAAATCAATGAAACCTCAGAGAAGCTAATAGGAGAATTCTTAGTTTAAAGTCTATATAGCCAAACAAATTTAGGTGGATCCATATAAATTTTGTTGTGATACTGTTGTAACAGCTCGTTTGAAGTATGTAAAAAAGTTCTACTTATTGGTCTAGTCACTTACCTATTGGCATGGCAGGCAGCAGTGAATTCCAAATCTTTATCATAAGAGAGAGCCATCATATTTGAAGCAGCACCAGTAAATCCTCTACTTTCCTTACCAGTAGCGATCTCGTTCCTTAATCTGTTATGTTCGTGTAAAATCCACTTTAAAAATTCGGCATCGGACTCAACGTTTTCGCATCCCTCTTTGGCAAGACAATTTTCATCACGTTCACACACAATATTCTTGATTTTATCGCAATTAGGCCATTTCTTAGGACACGTCATAGAGTCCCCCAATGCGTACGAAGGCAGAAGCACGCAAATATTTATAATAATTGTAATTTTCATTTTTGCGACAATATTTTCGTCACCCAACTGATTTTTAAAAATTAAAAAAATTGGTGGCCTGGTTACTGAATGTGAAATGGTTTGATAACTGATATTTTCACATAGATGTTTTTTGATATCGGTAACTATTTCCGATTCGAGATCATTTTTGTCGGTTTTTGGTTTCTATCGCGGTTTCCGAAAAATTCAACTTGATGAGAGCGATAATATTGCTAAAATTTATAAATGATATAATATTTAATTTATGTTTTGATTATAAAGAGATTCTTACATTTTTAATACCTGGGTATTATTTTAAAAGTGGTGTCGCGCGGTGAACTATAACAGTACCACTTATAAAGTACTTTAGCAAAATTTTTGCTTCAGATATCCCAGGAGGCCAAAGAAATAATTATTAAAGTTTAAAATTCGAGAGACGCTAAAATGGAGGTACCCACCTTATCGAGACTGAGGCCCACACAAGGGTAAACTCGTAGCGTAACAGAAACGAGAAATGATTTAACTTGGAACGAAAGACCGAAAGCCGATAGTAGTATTATGACGTTGAATTTTTTGGTTTGTAAACCATATGATGATTTTCACAAGTCTTGATTTATAAAACCATTCTATATCGCTTTTTGATTAAGGTTTAAAAACTTGTTCGAGAAATTTATCCAATAATAATTGGTCCCTTTACCTCTTAATCCTGCTTATGTAAAATATTTGGGCTCCTTACTTCGCTTATTTATATTCTATTAATAAAGGACAGAAGGATGAGTATTGCAACTATGTTAAAAGAAATAAATTGGCTTTCAGTTCAGAATTATGTTCAGTACATGACTGATATTTATTTATAAAATAAAAATGACATAGTACCATCGCATCAGATCTATTAGAAAAAATTCAATATAATTCGCAATATCACAACTATAATACAAGAAGCCAATCTGACTTTCATGTACGGCAAGCCATCACTAAAAGTTCCCAAAATACAATTTTTAAATAAGGTTTAATAAATTTAATAGACTGTTTACAGAAATTAAAAAAAAAAAAACAACAATAAATGTATTCAAAAGTAACCTCTAACGATACTTGATAAATAAACAGAACGGATATACTTTCTTGTGATAATATTTTTTAAACCTGTCCTTTTTAATTATTTCACTAAATTTATTGTTATTTTACCTCTCGTTTTACCAGCATTTATTATAAATTATTTCTGTTTTGAGATCGTGTTCTTTATTTTAAAAAATTACTTGATGTTATATTAATACTAATTACTATGTTTAAATTATTAATAGTTTTGCGACGATAGGTTATAGCAACATAGCCACAAAACTATTTTTGTGTTAAAGTAGATCCATAGATCCACTATAATGACTTAATTAGATGAAATATTCGGTAAAAGTTGTTCAGCAAACCAGTTCTTAAAAACTGTTGCATTCATATCTTTATGATAATCCAGCAGAGCTTTTTTGACATATTTTGCTGAAAGTAGCGAAGCTTTTGCTACTAAGCCATTTTCATTTCTGGTATGTAAAATTATGACTCTAGCATCTACATCAACCTCAAAAGGTCTTCAGAGAGAATCTCGTATAACACAAATCAAAATTTAACAGAAACACCGAAAAATAAAAACAAGTGGGAACATTTTTCAAACCGTGTACGCTACTGAACAAAGATAAAACAACTAAAGCAGCCAGGCGAGCCAGTAATTCTGGCCGCTCACTTGTGAACTTAACATCAACTATAGGTGCATAGATGTTTAAAACTTAAGTGTGCCACATCAGAGGCTATACCAAGGCGGTTCACGCTTATTTGCAATGTGAGAGTATAGAATTTGTAGCATTCGCATGGCATGTAACGCGAATTATCACGCAATCCCGGTACAAACGATTGTATTGGATTAAGTTTAGAAACACTATAAGTTGATATTCTAAAAAGTAAAACTGTCACGTACATTTTGGGTTTAAATAGATTGTCGATTGTTGACCCTAGGTCCCGAAGCACCTCAAGGTGTAAAGTTTTTGTGCAGATTTGTGTGCTAAAGGTATATATTTTAAATTATTTTAACATATTGTTTGGTTTAATTTTGAAACATTTAATTTTTTGATTTTAATATAAATGATCTTATTCTTATTATATATTATCTTATATTTTATCAATATTTATTTATTTCAATATTTATTCCTTGAATATAAATTGATTATTTATTCTGTAAATATTTTAAATACACATTTGTTATCGTTTATTAATTTTTATTATTATTCTCTCCTCCCCTTTCCAAAACCGGTTATAAAATATTCCGAGCATTTGCAAAGCCTCGGCGTTTCTACCACTAAGGACAAGAAGAGAGTATATAACTAGTTGCCAAAGCCGCTCGACTATGCTATCAAGGGATGATTTAATTTTTTTGCCACTGGTGAATGGATGTTCCTTTGGGACTCCAGGATTCTGGTGACAGTGTTGTCTTAATCCTTTAATAGTATATTGACAACATAGTAGCTAAAGAACTATCAGTTGTCGGTGTTCGGTGGTGTAGCGGTCTCACTCGCTTATATTCATTTGTAGGCAAGTTTGTGGTCAGAGACAGAGGGACTTCGAATCCTACACCAGACCATGTGGATTTTGTAATTAAATTGCATGGTTCGGTATAGGATTCGATGTTTGCCGTATTAATAGAAATTCAATTTCTGTTGATATGACATGCAGATTATAAAATCGTCATGCATTACTGTCTCGATGATGGTGGGTGAAGTTTTCCGGGTTTTACTCACCTGTAAGTCAAATGGCACCATCAATCATCTTTAAGTCGCCCCGGAGCGCCACGGCAAATAATAATAATAGCCTTCCCTTTCCCCACACAAGCTCAGCTTTTGGGGTTTAAATTCACTCGTAAAAGGGTGAATTAGGATAAGTATTATTATTAATATTATTATTATTTGGTGACAAGTGCTAGATCTTTTAATTAGCTGATTGTTACACTTTCACTGACACAAAAAAATGCTTGCAATACTATGTTAGATTCAGGAAAAATGCGTCTGAGCTATATCTCGAATTTCATTGAAAACCACAAATAGGCGGTCACGTAGCCGAAATCCCTACAGTGGAAGTAGCAAAACCAGACGAGAGAAAATGCTTGCAGACATTTTTTTATTGACAATTTAATTAATAATGCTTTATACTCAGACAAGGCAACATTTTATTTGAACAGGTATATTACCCAGTAAAACAGCCGTTATTTTTCTGATGAAAATCCACACTGGATGCAAGAATACCATACGCAAATACCACAAAAATCAACGTAAGGGCTGGTATTATGATATACGATTAGCTTATGGTAAAATATTACTTTCTTATGAGGATATTGGTCACCAAATTTGAAGGCGTTTTTGATTTATGGCCAATTTTGAATTTTGAGTTCTTTAAGGGTTCATGTTTGTATATCAAAATTCACCAATTAACGCTCTCTGGGGTAGACAGACCATTGTCGGTGGAATATACTAACACCCTGTATATCAAATTATGTATTTACTAATAGAAAAAGAACAATATTCATTTAATACAAAAAAGCGCAATTTTTATGTATTTCAGGTCTATTCACACCTGATTGGCTAGATCTGTTAACCGCATATATCATTTAATTGCAACTACTGAGCGAAAGACATTGCTTCAATAAAGAGACAAAAAACAGTAATACTATTTTTTACGTTTTAAATTTGCGTTGTTAATTGACCTTGCAATTTGCTGTTACAAACATTCGTTGCATTTTAAAAGATGGATATACTGGACAAAAAAATTTCTTGGTATGTAGACGAAGTTATATTTAAACAATTGTGGTAATCGCAGCCTTAAAGGCTTATAATTATTTTAAATCAAAAGAAAAAACTCGAAGAGTAAGAATATATTGAAACATGTGACTATTTAGTAAAACAAAACTATGAAAACGCTACAAAAAATAAAATATTTATAAGAATAGTAAATATTTCCGCATGCAGGTGTTGTAGGTGTCATCGTTGTTACTTGTTTATTAGTTACGTTTGCAACCCCAGTTGATGCAGTTACAGTTGTAGTAACGGTAACCTTCTTTTTACCACTTTCAATCTGGGTTTCGTCGACAACGCCGCATAATCCTGGATATCTAGCGTTACATTTGATGTTTTTCGGACATTTTGAACATGGTGGACCTTTCATGTACACTTTTTGTCCGATCATATTTCCTTGCGGACCATAGTTGCAGGTTAGATAAAATTCGTCGCCGTCTGGATGTTTTGATTTGGCCACAGCGCAACCAATATGCGTCGTTTTAGCCCAAATTAGCTGGGAGTAGTGGCCAATGTCGTGACGTCCTAAAAAGCATTTTTAGTAAAGAAAACAAATCGAAGTGCATACGATATTTTGTTACTATATACTGGCAACAGAGAAAGATAATGTACGGAAGTCAATGAATTGCAGTCGTACATTTTTTAATATTAATACCATAAATCAGTCCTTGTTACAATGATTTTTAATCATAGATTAATAAATTAGTGCCTTGAAACACTAACACTACCAACATAAACGCCAAACATTAAAAATTTACTATATTTTCCAATATTATAATATAAAAATGTATTGATTCAATGTTTGACGTTTATTAATATATCCTATTCATCTTTAAAACTAATTTTTGTCTAACATAAAAAAACAATGACAGTAGATTCTAGAAATGCGTCAAAATTAATTAATATCGCCTATCATTCATAGAAATGTTTAATACATATACCTGTTTATACCGTTTATACAATTTATTTAAATAATTTTTTCAATTTGGAATTTCTGGATTAACTCTAATATGTCTAAAAAAGATACTTTATAAAATTAATTGGAATCTGTAAAAATTTTAATGGAAATTGCCTAAGCGTTTTTTAGACTGTAATAAAAACAGTTGTTTTTTTAAAGTTCAACACCATCTATTTAGGGAATGAAACGATTCCAGACATACATTTATAGAAGCTTTTTTTGAACTTTGAGCTCAGGAATAGTTCCTTAAATTTGTGCTGTATGTTTAGGAAACAGCCTGCGTAAGGTTCTAGACGACTTAGAATTAGGCAGATTGAAACAAATTGACTAATGGCCTCTTTAGACATGCTAGTGCACTCGACCGAGTTGGTCACTGCACACGTTGCTAGAACTGGGGAAAAATATTATTTTAAAATTAGAATTTTGAGTAAAGTTGCAAGAGACGAATTCATTCACGAATTAAAAAATAGGAAGAGAATAGTTTGGATGCGAAATTGGGTTGTTAATCGACTATGTTTAGGAGCTTCAACTGCAGGCAGTTCTTCATATTCATAGTTTTATTAAACAACAACAAACACAATTCTTAAATCCTTAAAACAACGGTACAATATACTCACGGAAAAAAATAAAAACCGAAGCTGCCAAAGTTGTCAATAGATGAAAGGTCAGATGAAGGAGAGAAGAGAAAAAAAACACAAAGATATCAGCTCAACAGAAAGAAAACGAAAGAAGACAAGAAGAAAATCAAGAAGCAGATTAAAAATAGAAGACAGCAAACAGACGATAAACCAAACAAGGTGCCCAAAACACCACCCATCCAATTAGAGACAAATAGTTAGAGTCAAGTTAAAACAACTCTTGAGGATAAAGTATGAGAAGTGAAGATATGTGTTTCGAGTGAAGATGACTACAGGAAAAGTACTTCCTACCTCGATGAAGAAGGCATAACATTTTACTGTCATCAACTCCGACAAGGCAAACCATATAAAGCGGTCATAAGAGGGTTACAGGAACACACTTCGGTAAAAAAATAGCCTACGAATTGAACGAAGCAGGACTAAGATGCAAGCGATGAAGATCAAAAGAAGCGACAAGAAGCACTCACTATTTTTTTGTAGACATTAACCAACAGGCGAGAATTCTCATAAATAGATGTCAAGGATTAGTAGTTAAAATTGAATCACTAAGGCCACCAACAGGGGTAATACAAGAATACATATATCAGGGATTTCAATATGTCCAAAAGTGTATTACACTAATAGCGGCGGAGAAAAACTACAGAAGATGCGAAAGCGTGCAAAACCTATTACCAGCTTACACTGCTCCTGGTACTAGTAATCCAGCGATGGCTTAGCTAAAAATAAAAAAATGATGAACAACCACAATAGACCAGAGAAGATTTAGAAATTAGTGTCATATACAAGAAACTCGTAAAGGAACTTGTTTCAAAATAAAGAATTTTAAAACATATAAAAGACGGTCCTGTGCTTCCGAAGCCAGGTGTTCACGGCTAACAACAAGTATACGTGACCAAGACCAGGCACGGGGTGACGTAATCGTATGTCCATCTCTCTCTTTAAAGCATTAAAAAATTGGCAGAGCGATTCACGCCTTCTTAAAGTAAGGGTCGTCTCTCACCTGCATAAAAAATACTAAGTTCTCTGAGCAACGATAAAAAAAAATTGTAGAGTCCTAATACTATTAAATATGTAAGCAAGTGAAGGAATGTAAATATGTACAGTTTTGTCGTGCAGCGTTTGTGCACAATAAAGTGTTTTACAACATGTTGAATTTTCATTGTCCACATGGAAATGGTTGCAGCCAACACCGACAGGAGACAGTCCATTTTGGTAAGCGTGCCCTCGGGCCGTACTTAATATTTGTGGGGGATTCAACTGTTAGAAATCCATCAGAACTGATAAAGTAATGCAGGTGAGTATGAATTAATATTTGTTTGTCCTATTTTAGAGGGACTAACGGGTCAGATATAGACCAACGATGACCAGGTGTTCTCTGTTAGCTCAACTCACCACCAAATCATGAGCACAAGCCGAGCACTCACAGAACAGTTACGCAATTAAAATGTCCAAAGAAACGTAAATGATACACCTATTGCCGACACACAAGGATAATGCTTCACACAATGACAACCTTTATGTTCTTTTAGATGGTACTTATGGAAAATAAATCAACTGATCTTGATTTTGAGGAGCGTACAGTGAATAAGCAGGAGGTGTATGGTAGTCTAGCAGGCTCCAATTCTAGTTCATACAGGATGGGAACTTACTCGATTCGGGCCTTATAAAACGTGGGAGTGTAAATATTTAGTTTTCAAAATAATTTTTTCCAGTTTTGACATATAAAGTGACATTTTTGTAATCGCAACAAGTTGCATAATATTGAACATTTTAAAACTGGTTTCGAAAAATTCATTACGTCACCAGTTGCGATAAGAAAAGAATTGAAAAGAAGCTTTTTTTGGTTTTAAAATTAATAATATACATTATTATTGACAGTTTTTATCAGTTTACTAGTTACATACAGGCATTTTGCTCAAGTTTATATCGGTCTAATAACTTTTTTGTTTAACGACTAGCAACAATTTTTTAGACAATTTTTTTACACTTTTTTCTGCATTATTTATTAAGTTTTTTACAGTATTTATGTTCAAAAATGACAAGCATTTTTCACAGATACTTTAGTTACTTTCTTTATGACCCACCCCGTATAAATATTGTATATTAAACCTAATAACAACAATATATTTTATTATTCATTCAGTATATTGCATAACAAAATGTAAAAATCTTCTACAAATCGGAAGCGGATCCTGACCCATGGGAACAAGAACGGCAGAGTAACGGTCTTCGAATTCCAAGAAAAATATATTTTGCCCAACTACAACTTTGCACACCTGCAAATTTATTTACTAGTATTTTAAGCGCCTAAAATATAGTTTCCTTGCTCATGGAAAATTTCCAGTAATTTAAATACGAAAGCTAGTTCCCTTACATTCGCAAATCTGTCCTACTCGCGCTACATAAATATAGTTAAAATAGATCGTTAACAAGTATTAAAATTTAAAAAAACCGACTTCAAAAACGTGCAGATGCCATCACCACATCGTAGCCAAATTTATATGGGACCACCCCTGAGGTACCCCCTTACTAACAAAAAAGAATCATATAAATCAGACAAAGTGGTAAAGCATTATCGTTAAATATACATAAAAAATTAAGAGTTTGAGGAGTTTCTCATGGACCCAATTATTAGATTTTAACCAAATTTATATATGACCACCCCTGAAGTACCCCTTTTCTAACAAAAAAAGAATCATTGAAATCGGACATCGTGTTAAAGAATTATCGCTGAACATACATAAAAAAAATATTGCGATGAATTGAGAACCTCCTCCTTTTTTGAAGTCGGTTAAAAACAGGCACATATTTGCAACAACAAATACGCTATCTTTGTCTGCATTAGTTAGATATAGCTATCACACAAAGTTCACTAAACCAATCCTAAAACAGTATCAGCACTCATGATTTGTTTTATCTCAACCAATCACGACAAGACTCAGCTACTAGCTACTAGCCATTCCATACTTGCATTCGACAAAACAGACTGAGATACCTAATTGCAACCTGCAACAGCATAACTCATTTGTTTTAATTTTTGTTTTGTTACGTGCTCGCCGCTTTTATTTAAAACATTTAAGAGATATTTAAAAACCTGCATTACTTAACGTCTTAAAGATAAAACATTTATAGAAGCTACATATGAAAAGTTTTTATGTAATTTGAAGCAAAGTTTATAGTGTTAATAAAATCATTAGCTGAAGGACCAATTTTAATATCATCATTACTAAATGAGTGCCTGGCAATTCCTTAATGAAAATCACACGTTTTACATGTTCTAACCTACTACAGTTCACAACCGCTTCCTGCTGATGGGAAGGGATTCTTATTTCGGAGAAGATTAAAAATGAAAAAGAAATCGACTTTGCATTAAAACAATTTCTTTCTAAGGATCGTAACTGAAACTTACTTGACATTGACAGTCGTCAAGAAAAGCCAGTTACAAAACTAGAAAAGGCAAATTTATAATGGAAGAACATTTAAAATTTAAAATTTAAATAAAAAAATCCATTCTAATTAATTTAATATCTATTTGTTTAAATTAAAAAGTTTTACTTACAAACATACAAACAAATTTAGTTATACCAAAAATTACAGTATTTTAACTAAATATTAAAGTCACAATAAAGATCACAACCTTATAAAAAAATCTATTGAAACTAAAAGCAAAAATATGATGCCTACTTTCAAGTATAAAATATTTCTTAAATTATGTATATATTTTTTTATTTATATAAAACACTATCTAGTTATTTTCACCCTTCAGATAAAAACATTTTAATGAAGGCTTATAATCAAATCTTCGTCTATATTTCAAATACAATACCAATATCCCAACAACATTGAAATTAAACCAACAATAAACATTCTAGAACTAATATCAATATGTGCAGAATCTGGTTCTCCAATTTTCTTAATTTTTTCAATTAAAGTTTTTTTAGTAGTATTTTTAACTAATGTAGTAGTACTGTTAGTTAATGTAGTAGATTGTTGTATTGTCGTTGGTGATGGAACTGTTGTAGGTATGTCAGTATTGTTCGTAACAACAGAAGCAATAGATGATTCAGAAACAAATTTAGTTGTACTTTCACTATCAGATGTGTCGGTAATAGTTGAAGTTTTAGGAGATTCTTCATTTTGAGTAGTTTTCTTTTCCTCGTTGTTATCTTCATTCTTCTGCTCTTTTGCTTGACCTCCTAAGCCTAAACCTCCTCCTAAACCTAAACCGCCAAATCCACCTAAGCTAATCCCAGGAACTGCTGGCGCATCTGGTTTACCTCCTTTTACAGCATCTACAGGTGCAGCTTCAACTTTATCTTGTGCTTTTTCTTCGACAGGTTGTTCTTTGACTGGTACAACACCGGAATTTCCTGTGCCCTCTCCTAGAGTGTTCTGATCTATTTTTCCACATAATGCTGGATATTGTTCGTTGCAATGGACCATAAATGGGCATTTGGAACAACCTTCTCCTCTTTTGTACACTTTATGATTTTTCTTATTTCCTCCAGGGCCGTAGTTGCAGACCAAATAGTATTCATCCGAGTCGGTTTTCTTGGATCTTGCGCAGCCAATGTGGGTGGTGTCGGCCCAAATCATTTGAGTGAATTGGATAATTTCGTCACGACCTACAAATAAAACAAAAAACGTGAAGGTGCAATGGATTTGAATTTTAAATAGTGTATTTTTGATTTCAGAAATACAAATTTTGCATTCAATTTTTGTAAATAAATAAATCGTGGACGTACCTATTTAAAAAATACTTTATTTTGGTGAGTAATTCAACTATAGTCACATATTTTAAAAAACAATTTTTATAATTCAAATTTATTGTGAATATATTGTGGATGTACAGGGTTATTCATTATAAATAACCTATCATTTATTATCGTTATTGTTGCATGCACAAAAAAATGTTTTGAGTTAAAGTTATTAAGACTATGATTGAATTTTGTTAAAAACATAGTGTCGTACAGATTTTACGGGATACGACATTTTTTTTTTTTTAGTAGTATAATAAGTTTTTGGAATTAACTTTTTCTTGATTTCAAATATATAACATATTTTTATATCATTTTCGAGTAATAATTAAATTTTGAATATCCTAGTTTTGGTAGTTAATTGCTGTTTTTCTTCTTTCCTGTAAACCATTTTGACTATTTTATAAAAGCAATGTCACTTATCATTTTCATAACTTTAATAAATTTCAACTTTTCCATATTTACAAGGTTCATGAGGGACCAGAAATCTTTAATAGCATTCCAACGGAGCTCCGAGAAATAAAAACAATAAAAAAATTTAAGGAGGTCCTTTCGCCACCCCTTTCGTCACCAATGTTAAAAAAAAATATTAGATTATGACTAAACTTTATTTTTTTTCTAATAGTTGAAGTCCTTATTTATCTAATAGTGAACTTTTAACTATACCTTACCGTGCAAATTTTTGAAATTTTTTTTTTTAAATGTGAGTATTTGTACAGTGTCTTACGAGAAAGTAAGACCTCAACAACAATTTTCGAATTATACTATTATTTATTGATTAGATGGAGTAGAAAAAAAATAAAAATAAGGTTTTTGAAATATTTAGGTTTTGTTTTTTACAATAAAATATATAGGTTACCGTGAAAATTATTGAGAAATTAATATTAAAAAAAAATTCAAGTAACCTAGTTGAAAATTTTTTGTGATTTTTTAATATTAATTTCTCAATAAATTCCACGGTAACCTATATATTTTATTGTAAAAAACAAAACCTAAATATTTTAAAAACTTTATTTTTAGTTTTTTTCTACTCCATCTAATCAATAAATAATAGTATACTTAATTATAATTCGAAAATTGTTGTTGAAGTCTTACTTTCTCGTAAGACACTGTACAAATACTCACATTTTTAAATTTTTTTTTCTCAAACATTTGCACGGTAAGGTATAGTTAAAAGTTCACTATCAGATAAATAAGGACTTCAACTATTAGAAAAAAATTAATTTTAGTCATAATCTAATATTTTTTATTTAACATTGGTGGCGAAAAGACCTCCTTGTCCTTAAAAGATTTGTAAAATAATTTATAGCAAAAACACCGCGAACTTTTTTCCGTAATCCTAATTGAATAAAAAAAAATATAAATTAAATAATTGGAAAGTATATTATAAACGTTAAAGAATCTGAATAATTTTAAACTGTTTTTTTTTCTATGTAGAAGTAATGTTTGTTGTATGAGATACTTATGCCGAGGTATTTTGTTAATAAATTTTACTTAATATAATATCAAAATTGTAAAAGATTGTATTTACATTAATAATTTGTATTTTAATCCTTTGCTTCATATTTTTAAATTCATACTATTGTATTGTTATAGTTATAAGTTTTATTTATTATTATTTTGTCGTATTTTTTGTCACACAATCTGTCATTGTACTTTGTACAGTGAGCAGATTCAGTGACACATGTCTTGTTTATTTACATTTTATTTCCTATTTGATTTTATTGTATTTGAATGTATATATTTCTGGTAAATAAACATTATTATTAATTGCGCTTCGATCAAATGCGTCCCGACAAAAAAAATTTATTTTTAATTTTTTTCTTTTTTATTTTATTATAATTGATTACTGACAGACTTTTTTTCAGTTTTACAGAGTGAAGATGATCTAGTTCCACATATGAACTCAGATGGTTGAATCTTAATGTATATATAGGGTGTTCCAAATTGTATTACCCAGGCTCTAACTTCTAAACCATACAAGATAATCGAACCGGACAAAAGTCATCCATTATAATTGGCGGTGTACTTTGAAACAAATAAAAATTTGACGACTCACCCTTAAACACTAACCCCTGGAACAACCCCCTCAAAAATTATTAATTTTTTTCTGCTCATTTTTGTAGTCGCTACTTTTCTCTGTACAACTGTTTTTAAAATTTTGAAATAGCTTTATAAATAAGTGAGAAATTAAATAAAACTCTATGTCAAGTTGATGATAAAAATACTTTATGGTGACACATAATTAAAAAAATACATTGAAACAAGAGAAAGAGAAGACAAAAAATAAATATCAACAAACAAAGAGTAGTAATAACTTATAATAAGTGCTCAAATTGCCCACCTCCCACTTTCACACATTTGTCAAACCTTAACAATAAATTTCTAGTACACGCAGCTCGAATCATGGTCGGTTTAAATCTGTTACAAGCATGTCTGATTCTATTTTTTAAATTTTCTCTTTGGTTTTGTTTCGTATACTACGTCCTTTATAGTACCCCAGAAAAAATCTAGAGGCGACAAATCAGGTAACCTAGCCGGCAAATGGATAACTGGAGAATGCGTGGATATAACTCGGTTTCCATAAGTATTTGCCAAATATTGGCTCACAATGGTGCATTATGAGCTGATGAACTATCTTGCTGCCATCACATATCATTTCCAACACTTCCATCAAATCAAGAACGGTATTGATTAAAAAATCAAGATATTCTATTCCCGTTAGAGTGTTTTCATAAAAATGAGGACCTTTAATCTTACTACCATTGAACAAACCACACCATACGTTTATGCCCCAAATATTTTGAAACCTTGTTTCTCTTACCCAGTGGGGATTTGTTGGGGATCAGTAATTAAAATTATGACGATTTAATACATCATTATTATGGAAACGTGATGTAAACCAAAAACCATTCTGTTGTGTCCTCCATGATATATACCGTCAAGAAAATGTCCTTGTCTAAGACTTCTTTCTAAATTGGAAAACGTTCTAACTGAGGGAATTGTTCTATTCGGAAAACGTTCATAGTATAATTGTTTACCTTGTCTTGAATTTTTGCAACATTCGCCGTAAATAATTATTATATCGGTGTACTCGTTGGAACTAAACACAGTAGGCATTTTGAAATAATTTTTTAGGACTTGACAAACTCCAAATTATTGCAAACTTTATCGAGTAAAAACTGCTAATTTTATCGAGTATTTAGGCTGCACTTCTGTTTGACAAGAGATTGATATAGTATAGTATTGTTTATAATGCGCTAGAAAACTTACCATGAATTTGACAAAAAAAAAAAAAAAGAATCTCAACAGTTGTACAGAGAAAAGTAGCGACTACAAAAATGAGCAGAAAAAAAATTAGGGTGTCGTTAATAATTTTTGAGAAGGTTGTTCCAGGGAGGTAGTTTTTGAGGGTGGGTTATCAAATTTTTATTTGTTTAAAAGTACACCGCCAATTATAATGGATGCCTTTTTCGGTTCGATTATCTTGCATGGTTTAGAAGTTATAGCATGGGTAAAACAATTTGGGACACCCTGTATAATATATTAAAGAAAATATAAATATTTACCTAAGATTCTAATTAAAAAAAACTAACTAATTTACCTAGACTGTGCGGCTTGAATTCATCACAGGATGCCTCGCAAAAATTTTATTTTTCTCATTTTATTTACAATTTACCTAACCGTGCAGCAATCGCAGGTTGCTTCGTAAAAACATTTATACATAAATCGAGAAAAATTAAAAAAGCAAACTTTAATAATTTAGTTAGGCTGTACAGCCTAGAGCCATTTAATTTTTTCTAAAACAACTTTGGCACAGATGAAATCTGCATCCGACGATAATTTTCCCGGGCGATTATGTCGGGAAGCGCATTTTTCCGGGCGTTTTTGTCGGGGCGGTTTTGTCTGGGGTGTATTTAACTATGGCTTAACTAAGATATTCGACATTTAATTAATTTAAATGGGTATAAGATACAGGTAACATATAGTATATATTTGAAATTAGGAATAAAGATAATTCAAAAAAATTTGTAATATACAGGGTATTTTATTTAAAAATAATTGTTGTATTCTGTGAAATCTGCACACCATTATGTATTTGATGACATTCAAACCAAAATCAGTCAGAGTCACAAAACTTATTTAAAACATTTTCTTGTATATGCAATAATAACGATGATAAAGGGTGGGTAATTTATAATGAATAACCCTGTGAAATAAAATAAATAAAAAAGGTAAATCTGATGGTTCTTTCGACGACCGATAATTTTTTGCACATCATCGTATACAATTGGTGATTTGTGTAATAAATATTTTTTATTAACTTTTAAAAATTTATTTAATTTTGTAAGCATTAAGTATTCGATCAAAACTGATTACATCACCCTGTATTATAATTTTGATATTAGGCTGAGCTTCCTTTCCAATGACAACCTGCTTGCGAGACCCGCGACAGTTTTACTTTCTTATTTTTGTACTGAGAGAATATCTTTTGCTTCGAAATTCCAATCAGTAAAGTCAAAAATTATTTTTCTATAACAGTAGCCAAAAAACACGGATTTCAAATATGCTTCTGGAAATTGTTTAACATAACGGCAACAATTAAAATTTGTTGTTGTTACCTTCGTAGAATAATAGTCTGATAACGACGAGACCCCTGGAATTTTCCATTATCTTGACCTAAAGCCGCTCGAGTCCTTTCGCAAGCTGCATTAAGAAAACCACGTTAACAAAAGCTGGCCATCTGATCATCCACTGTATTGATATGCCAATTAAATTTATAATAAAATTAAACTATTCATTACTAATTGTATATAATTACGAGTATGTGCAAAAATTATCGGTGGGCTTCTGGAACAAAACGGAAAATATATATCTGATTTTGTTAAAACATTGAAAGTTAATAAAATTTTTATTATATTAAACTCTAATTCAGTGCCAACATTTACTGTTAGACCCAAAAAAACTAACAAAATTATATGAAATTGAAGAAAAAAAATTTAAAGAATGAAAATACGTTAAAAAAAAGTGTTCTAGTATTACAGGATTATCAAATAATTCGTTTTCTTTCATCAGTATGTTTTTTATTTATTTCAAAAAACAAATTAAAGCAAAAGTAAAGACTTTTTTTCGTTTTATTTCATGTAATCGCCCGACTAGAGTCTATTATTTTAATAAGAATTTTTTGGTTACCTCTGGGAAATTTGTCAATGACATCCGGAGTGCTTAGTTTAATTTCTTCGAACCAATTTGTGACGGCTTCTCTCAATGCTGAACTATTTCCACGGGCGTGGAATAAATTTTGTCCTGCAGCGGGGAATTTTGCAGTACCTCGACATTTGTCATGTTCAAATTTACATCTAAAAATAATGAATTATCTATAAAAATATAATTATCCTAAGAAATTAATAAATTGGATATTGTTCAAACGATTTACTATAAAATGAGGTTTAATAACCAAAGCATTTGTTTGAAATATTATACAGGTGATTCTAAAAGACGCTGGCAATATAATACTATAAGGAGAATTTAAAATAAAGTTACCCATATTTTTTTTTGGCGAAATCAATTTTTTTCCTATTTTCGTTCAGTTATGCTTTGGTTTGGATCCTTATTTAGCTCAATTTGCTTAAAGAAATCCATCTTTTTCCTATCCACGGCTTAGAAGGCAATTAAAAGAAGCTACAAGAGTTAGTGTTTCAGTTGAAACCGTACGAAAAAACTTCGCAAGTGAAATTTGTTTAGCAGAAGACTAAAGGTAGGAACGCATTAGGCAATCGCGGTCTGTGCTAGTCTCGTGCGCGCGCGGTGTAATTCTTTCCTTTATTTTATAACGCATGGATTCCCACTTGGTGTTCTCGGGATGTGCTTGCTCGCATCGAGTTCTTCTCCTATATTGCCCAAAGAATTGATGAGACCGCGATACGATTGAGACTAGCACATGCCGCGATGCGACGGAACCGTTATTGCATGATGCGTTCCCTCTCCAAGAATTTTTTAGTTATCTGGATAAAACCAGATTGATCGACTGAGGTGGTATAGAGAACATGAACATTACACAGTTGAAGACTTACAAAGTGTGATGTTTTCAGATGAATTTAAAATAAGTCTAAATTCCTACGATCGCCTAATTCGAGTTTTAGTAGGTCGAAGTGGCAGGTACGATTCATATCTACACCGACGGTTCTAAAACAAAACAAGGCTTGGAATATACTCCAGATCCTTAAATCTAAACATAAAATGGACTTTGAGCAATAATTCCAGTGCAGTTCAAAAAGGCGTCACGGGAATTATTATAGCAGCAAAAGAAATAACTAGAAACTAGAAAGGATAATGCTCATCTATACAGATAGCAGACAAGCACGAATTTACTTAGAGTTAGTACTAAAATGCCAAGAAGCTTTGGCCGAAGTATCCATCAACAATGTGGTCACCTTACGATGGATCAAATGTCATGCCGCATCGAAAGGTAACTGTCTTGCTGAATAGCTAAGAAGGCAGCCAACAAAATACTTTTTGGATCTGGTTTTTCTGTTAGCCTGACAAAATCGGTAGTGACATTCCTAATTAAAGAACATTTCCTTATGAAATTCAAGGAAAGATGGGATAAAACAAGAAACTGTAGGGGAGCTTTTAATTTATCCTGACACCACTACAGCAAAACAAATACTTGACTATGACTAGGCAGAATTTGCGCCTGATCACAGGCATTCTGACTGGTCATTGCCAAGTACGGAAGCATCTCCATATCATGGGGCTGTCAAACTCCGCACTCTGCAGGGGGTGCGAACAAGAAGAGACCATCGAGCATATCCTCTATGATTGCCCGACGCTCTCGTTTATTAAAAGATTTGTATTCGGCGAGTATCGGCTAGCATCGGCCGAAATAAGAGAAACACCTCTTGGCGATATTCTCAACTACATTAAAACTATCATCTTAGGAGGGTGCATAATGGGCATAGTGAGGCCTAAGTGTCATGAGGCAACTTACCCGGAAAAATGTTTTTTTCAAAACCTATATATGTAGTGCTTAAATTATAAAAAAAAACTATTTGACCGAGAAAACCAAGGAACTTATTGTTTAACATAAAATTCTATTACGGTCAGGAAATTAAGCTTTTTTAAAAAAAAGTATTTTACTTCAATTTTAGAATGGTCTAGTAATACTGCATTCTACGGTAGAATGTTTGTAAAAAATATTACAGGGTTGCCAATCAATCAATTAATATTTTTTTTTTTTTATTTTAAATTATGATAATTTAAGTAGGTTAGCAATGATTTCAAAATTGTTTAAAATACAGACTTATAAGATATTAAGCTAACGAATAGTGGTGATAAAACTAGTTCATTTTATAAAGAGTTTCTAGAAACACATCTTAAATATGGCTAACTTTTAGTTCGACTTTCTCAATTTTTTTCCAATACAACACTGTGTATATTATTTAAGCATAAAATATCTTATGAATTTACCTATCCAATGAAAGCAACAGTCCTATCAGGGCGTAATTATTCGATAGCTATTTTATAATTGGGAATACGAAGAAACTTTTAATATAAAAGTTGTATAACCATAATTAGGAATTATTCTTAAATATACAGGGTATTATATAAACGAGGGGCTGATCAAACTTATACTCTTTTAAAGCAAAACACCCAGTAGGTAGTATATTGTATACAGGGTGTGTCAAAACTCAAAGTTACGATTTTCTCAATTTTTTAAATTGAATACCACTATTTAATTTAATTTTGTTTGCATTCCAAATTGTACAATCAAGTCCACAGGATTACAGATCTAATAGATCACGCAGGAGTTTGATAAAATCTGACACGAAGAAAAAAATTGGAACAAATTCTCCCAAAGCAGTATGTCACAGAGTTCGCTCTGCAATAAGTATGCTAAATGCTCTAGCATTTATTCCAGTTAAATTTGTTGAAACTTTTAGGACACAGAATATTATACGCCGTAGAGGATTGGTACAGAAGCTTTGAACGTCAGTTTTCTACAAGCCAAGAGAACAATTTAAAAATGAAACAGTACCAAGCAGGAACACCTTTATCAACTCCAAAAATATAAGGAATATGCACAAAGAATACTAGGTATTGTAGAAACTTTTGACGAAACTTCCATTGTAGAATACCTAAGAGGAATATCGCATAATTTAGGTTATAAGTTTTATAGTTTTTATTTATGCCTATTTTACCGAAAATGAAACTCTTAAAACTGTTAAATATGTTTTATTTTTTAACATTGCTTTATTAATTAAGATAATGAAATTTGGTTATTTAAAAAATTTCTATTCGAATAATTGACTTTCTTATAACTGCTTTTCGAATATTTTTTTATTGGTACCTTCGGCTTCGATAATTTAGGCCTCGTAGGTTATGGGGCACTAGTAGTAGTAGGAGTGCTAGTACAATATTACTCCTGCACCCCTACAGACAGGCCTTGTCACTGATGCCCAATGCATATTTAGGAACAGCACTATAAAGTAGAATCCAACAGTTAATGGGCAGAATAGGAAATCCTACCTATACAGCAGAATTATTGATCTCTCAAATAAATAATTTTTTTATTGGTGTCTTCTGCTTCGACACCTTAGGCCATTAACCTCGTGTTCTATGAATGTTATGGAGTACTGGTAGTCTAATACTCCATATTACAGGAATGCTAGTACTTTAATACTTTAATACTCCTGCATCTCTACATTGATTTTCGAATAATTGACTTTTGAGTAATTGATTTAGAATAATTGATTTCGAACAATGCTTTCAAATAAATAATTTACCTGCTACCCAGATTGGTGTTGTAGATATTATTCAAAAATTTCAAAACAGATTTACAAAGAGACCATTAAAGAAGAAATCCAAAGATATGCCATAAAATACGAACACACGTGAACATTGAGATGTTTCAGATCTTCGATCAGCATGAAATAGAAAGAAGATTTAGGAAGACAAACATTTCAGTTCTTGTGTGAGTAAATAGCATTGTAAAATAGTGCTATTTTTAGCACAAATAAAGAAGAAAATAAACCAATAAAACAGTTAGTACCTCGGAGAAGCTAATAAAAGATTTCTTAGTTTAAAGCTTATATAACCAAATAAATTTTATTGTGATACTGTTGCAGCAGCTCATTTGAAATATGAAAAAAGTTCTACTTATTGGTCTAGTCACTTACCTATTGGCATTACAGGCAGCAGTGAATTCCAAATCTTTATCATAAGAGAGAGCCATCATATTTGAAGCAGCACCAGTAAATCCTCTACTTTCCTTACCAGTAGCGATCTCGTTCCTTAATCTGTTGTGTTCGTGTAAAATCCACTTTAAAAATTCGGCGTCGGACTCGACGTTTTCGCATCCCTCTTCAGCAAGACATTTTTCATCGCGCTCACACACAATATTTTGGATGGTTATACCGCAATTAGGCCATTTTAAATGACACCCAATGTTTAACAATGCGTAAGAAGAAGGCAGAAGCACGCAAAGAATTATTGCAATTCTTATTTCGGCGATGATATCAACTGATTTTTAAGGATTCAAATATTTTGTGTCGTTATTAGTGGATGTTAAATCTTTCAAATCGTTTGATAATGTTATTGTTATTTTTAACTTGCTGTTTTTTGATATCGATTCCGATTTCCGATTTCCGATTCGTGATTATTTTTGACGGTTTATGAATTTAATGTTGTTGATTGTAAAATTAATCGCTTGAGTTCCTAAAAATATACGTTCAGTTCAAGGATACTTGTAAGGAGCGAAATTACTAAAATTTGGAAATTTTATCCTATATTTCTTTGTAACAATATATTTTTTAATTTGATAATGTTTCGGTTATAAAAAGTTTTTTCAATTTTTTAATAAACGGGTATTCTTTTAAAACTAGTCATGTCATACAATGAATTTAACAAAAAAGGTAGCAGAGAGGGAAAGAGGTCCATTACCACCCCCGTAGCTAGCAGCTACAGATCTCATTCGTTCAGGTATGAAATAATGTAAGATTTGTTTTATAGGTTTTTATACAATTTAGTTGTTGTGTTACTATTTTCTAGAGCTTACTTTATTATTCCTTTCTTGACACAGATGGTGGGACCCTTGTATTCTTTTGACTTAAGTGGAGAGCATGCTTGGTTGAAGTCATTCTCAGTAGAGTACCTATTAAATTAACACTTAGTTCCAATTTTCAGGACCTGCCATTTTACAGAAAATATATTTGAAATTAAAGATTATTCCTGTTCCCAGAAAGAGTAAAGTAGAAGTGGGAAAAGAAAATAAAAAATAATATTATTTCCTTTGTGGTTTCACCACTAATTTATTGTTGAGAAATAAAGCCAAAAGAAAACGAAACTCGTAGCTTCCAAGAAGTTTTACGTGTCTTATAGAAACAATGGAAAATACTTTGGCTTCTCAAGGGAAGTCATCTATGAGCTATAACAGACATTATTAATAGTCCCTAGAAAACTTTACCACTTACCACCATTCAGGTACTCTGTTTAATAACCAGGAGGAACAATTTGAATTTAACTTGATAATTCTGTAGACTTTTGATTGGTCAGATTGCATCACAGATATAAAGGACACAAAGATAGGAAACACTCATAAGAAGCACATGCTTAACAACGACTATGAAGACTAGAGAGAAGGAGGCGACTCGGAAATTGACAAATTTCCGTCCTTCTTTTTATAAAGCTCGTCAAATTGACTATAGTCCAGTTCGCAGCAACTGGTTTATTTTGGGCAAAAAATCCAAGAGACATTTTTTGTTTAGAATGAAACAGGCTATCGGAAATAAATTTTTAAATGGTAAAAAAATAATAAGACAAAAAGTTACGTTGGAACGAAATTTTAGGGGTTGCGTTTTCCACCCCTTAAACCAAATAAATTACTGGCTAAGTATCTTTTTGGTAGTAGAAAATGTCAGGTTAATTTCAATATTGTAACTTGTTTAGTGCTTGTGAAAAAAATTGTTAAACAAATTTTATGTACCCCCTTTAAGGGGCTGTATCTTAAGAAGGGATGCTCCAATGAAGTTTCTCTATAGGGAAGATCCTATCTTTTTTTCGATACACCCTGTATAATCTTTTTTAATTTATAAATTCTAATTACATATTCTAAGAAGTAATGTTTAATTAGTAATAGTTTAGGTTAGTATACCTACAATGTTTCAATTCAGAAATGTTATGCAGTAACCTTTTTTTTTTTTATATATAAAACATTTTTTTAAAAAACTTTTTTTATAAATTTTTTTTTTACAAATTAAACATTTTTAAATGAGTATTATGGTGTTTTTTTGACGTATTTATCACGTAGCTGTATAACGTCTTTGATCTGTGACATATTGCCGTCATAATCACGTCACCAGCACGTCATAAATTGGTGATTTCGACGTAAAGTGTGACGTGTACTTCACGTGAAAATCACCTGTCTGTGCTAACTGGGCGATTATCGTTCGAGTATGGAACCCTAAAAACTATATTTTTTACAAATTTATATATTGGAACAGTAAGATGCTGTACTGTGCTCAAATAAATGAATTTTGTATAGGTACCTGAACATTTTTTTTTAGATCATAACTTCCGGAAAACTCAAAATCAACAATTGTTCTAGCACAGTGACTGTAATTTCCAGTTATACTTCATATCTGTTGAGTTGATCAAACGCACTTGTTGTCAAAACAAAGCTTTTGATAGCGATAATTATCAATTGTTATTATTTTTAGCTTGCAGTTAAGGGACATTTTAAAAATATTAAATAGAAACATTACTCTTCCAGTCTCTAAAATGATATATCATAGGGAGTATTGATAGGAACTAAAAGAACTCTCACAAGGAAATATAGCTGAACTCTTTCCAATTAAGTATCTTAGGCCTCGAAGAGAAATACAATTAAATATAACACTTAGGTCAAATGACTTATATATTATCGGAAAGAGAGAACCTTTGTTAGCAGTTAAATGGGCCATTTAATTAAATAAACCCGATGAAATAAATATTACTCATATCCTAGATATATATAAGTATGTGTTTACTGGTTGTAGAAATAATTCAAGCAGCAAGGTGCCGTCATTATGACGTGATTTTTGGGTTTACTCGTCAGAAACGTCACTATCCCAATTAATGACGTTACTTTGATGTCGTTTTTGCAACGTTAATTAGACGTCAATACAGAATTTTTTAGTATTAATTTATCCGAAATACAATATCCTAATCAGTAACGTGTATTTGACGTCGCATTGATAACATAGAATAGACGTCACTTAGAATTCGTCATAATTACGTTATTTTTTCATATATTTTTGGCAATGTTTCCTCCATCTTAATGATTCTCGTGAGTAACAGTCGTGACTTTGTGAACGTGGTGCATTTTTAAATTATATTTTATTTGATAAGATGTTTTAGAAAAAGTTAAAAATAGAATGTGACAAAATAATAAAGTATAATAAACCGAATTTGGTATTTTACAGATGTATTGCATTGTTGAGTTTGAAAAACCGGATGATGACGGTCTGGCGGTTGTGAGGTGAGCAGAAAATGGCTGACGCTGCGTAAAAAAATCAAGTCTTTTGGCCACCTTTATAAAGAAATGTATAAAGAAATATACTATAATATAAGACAGGTGTGTAATGTTATACTTTTATTTTTTGATTATGAATTTTTTTAATAGTTTATTTAAAAATAAAAGATTTATACTGCCGTTTTAATTCAAATGGCCGTATTAGTTCAATACTTGAACGTGAGAAAAATCGATTTTTCAAGAAAAACCACTTACGCCCAAATTTCTAAGCGTTAAATCTCGGGCTTTATAGAAGATATATCCATGAAAATTAAAGAGATGGACAAAATATTCATTGTTGTCATGCGTAGTGGTCATATCTTTATTTCAAGGAAAATTGCAGTTACGGCCATTTGAATTAACACGGCAGTATAGGAGTCACTTGATTTAGATACCTTTTATCATCTCACAGAATATATGACCTTTTTTTTATTAACTTTTATTATAAACTCAGACTATATGTATACCTCTGAGAAGGTAGTTTTTACAACTAGATACACAATTTACTTTCTATTCAAGAATTTTTAGTGGTCTGTACTTTAATAGTTCTTTTATTTTAGATGATAATGATAAGTGATGTACCAAATTAAAAAAAAGTCGAAGATCGACATTCCAAGGCTGATAAAGATAAAAGAAAACAGGTGCCAACTAGAAAGCTGTCATTTGATTATACTGAAGATGATGAAATCGTAAAGCATGCTCGCCCACCCCCAATTAAAATCAAATCTACAATTTTAGGTATGTTGTGTCAGTTCCTCTAATATTCTTTTGTCATTTTATTTCTTTTTATTTCTTGCTCATGACTTTTTATTTACCAGTGTAATTTATTTATTATATTATATTTTTCATGTGTTTTTTGGATTAAATAAATAATTTTTATCTGCGTAGTATTTTTAATAATTCCATCCAACCTTGGGACACCCAATATAGACGTCACTTTGACGTTAGGTAGATTCGTGATAATGACGTCAATTTGCCAAGCCTAGGACACCCGATATACACGTTACTTTAACGTGATATCGATTCGTCAAAATGACGATATGGAATGACGTCATTTCGCTGTGACATTCTCACGTTATTATAACGTTATTTTCACGTCATCAAATGACGTAACGCACAACAAAAAATCACGTCATAATGACGGCATGATGTTGCATATTTATTTTCCTGTAAATTAACAATAATTAATTTATTAGTAATAGTATAATATTCTACATTTTTTAACCTTTTAACAACATCAATCTCAGAATGTGCCAGGTCGTCAGCATCATTTTTGTCACCAATAAATCAATACAATAAATCTGTGTTACCTCTTCATCCCTTCATATCTCCCTGTTGTAACGTAAATATAATCGTGAAATGATCTGAATATCTATACTCAACATTGTTCGACGTAGATTTGCCCATTGAATATTATTGTTTGGGCTGTCTTCCGATAATGTCATATACCTTAAATTTACATTCATAATAACAAATATAAAAAAAGAAAAAAGACAGAAAGCCATATTTTGTTTACGATCATTAAAACTTTTCATATGAACTAAGTACCGTGACATAATAAGTACTTTACGGACCTTTTCTAATCTCACAAAAAAATTAAAAACTAACTTTCATTAGGTCATTAAGCCACGAGAGGAGATGATGGAAGAGGCGATACAAAAAAGCACTTGGACCTCACAACGCGTGGTTAATTCTGAAAATTACTGTAATAACCGTATATTTGTGCCACGGTACACTTAAAGTTAATGAATTGAACAACAGAGAATTAATTCATAGTTCGAGATATAAGTATTACACTGTTTATGAGAAAGTAAACAATTTGTTTGCATATTTTTAGTTCTTGGTATTTATATTCATCCAGTGCAAACCAATAGAATGGAAAACGTAAATAATATTCTTCCTGTATAGTTTCTGCAAAGAAGGTCGTCGAACAAGTCAACTGGTTGTTTAAATGGGCTTCTTTTGATTTTACATTGACGTCAATAAGACAACAGTGCAACGTCAATACGGCGTTTTTATTATTATTATTATTATTATTATTATTATTATTTTGTCTAATATTGGTAGGCAAAGGATTTCTAAAAATAAAAATTTGCAACAAAAATGTCCATTTGCATTGCTAGTCAAGCTTAAACTGACATTTTTCCATTGACAATCACTTAGATCTTAACGGCTAGCGGTGCAAATTACTCAAAATACTTTTTTTATTTTAATAAAGAACTATCAATATATTACAGCTACCTATATGAAAGATACAATAAGTTATAATAGGTAAAAAAGGTTTGCATCATTGACAAGTTAAAAGAAGCTTAGGAATACTTTTAACAAAACTTCTCAAAACAGTATGAAATTTTAACGGTTAATTTAACCTTTAGTTTCATCAAAAATGTTAACAATAGCTTTCTTTTAAGCGTCGAGGGCCC